AGAGTTTAGGGCTGTTGTACATAGGGTCGCTATGAGTCACAAGCGACTCGACGGCACATAACAACAACAACAACAATTAATGGAGGAACATTCTAAAATGTAGCCAAGGACATTTGGCAAAGTAACTGGCTGGTGTTACTGGTTGTATTCAATCTAGAGAATGGGGTAGGAGGTGCTGAAATGAAGAGGCAAAACACCTACCAAGGAGCTTGCTTCAAATGAAACAAAACTCATTAAATATTATAACAGAGCAATTTCAACAGTTGCCAATACCTTGAAAACAAGGTGCAAGCTTGGAATAAGCACTTCAGCAGCAAAAATACTCAACATATTTATAAGACTTTGAATGTGAGAAAACATCATTTATGGAAGATGTCTTTTGCACAAGTATATTAGTTTCCAGAACACTGGGAAAATCCAGAAACACACAAAGAATAAACTAAAACTGCTCAACCTTCTACCATTCTCTTGAGTATTAAAGCTGGCCCATGCTTGACCACTTGCCAGGGTCTCTTTTCTTCTGCTTTTTATTTTTTTAATTGTGATTTTAATAAAAGTTTACAGAAAAGTTGGATTTTCATTCATTTATTTTTGCACATTTCCTTCCTTATCCACTCCCCCAGTTTTCTTTTTTTAAAATATTTAATCATTGTTGCATAATTTCTCCCCCCCCCCCAATCTTTCCCTTGTCCACTTTGCTGTGTACTTCTTATTCTGGACTGTTGTCATACAAATAATGCCTAATCATATGTTTCTTTAAAACAGTTCTTTTTTTCACCTGTTCTAATGTAGTGTTCATTATCTATCCACTCTTATCCTATTCTCTTCCCAACCCTCCATGTCAGTCCTGGTATGTAACAGTGGTGCTATGCAGTATTTATCATTTTTGTGACTGAATAGTTCACTTAGCATAATGTCCTCCAGGGTCCCCATGTTGTATAATGCTTTGAGTTCCTTGTTTTTCAGTGCTGTGTAGTATTTAATCATGGGAGTATATCATAGTTACCCAAAGCCCGTCAATATTGCCCACAAAAGACATATCTAAGAAACAAGTAAAAAGAAAGACGAAAAATCAAAAGCTTGAAAAAAAAAATACCAACTAAATGGCATCTAAAAAAAAGCAGGAGCAGCAATACTAATTTCTGATAAAACATACTTCAGGATGAAAACCATAATAAAAGGTAAGGAAGGGCACTGTAAAGGTACAACAGATCAAGAAGACATAAATAGTATCAAATCATAGACCTGTAAAATAAAACAGTTACAAGATTTGGAGAAAGAAATGGACCACACTGAAATAGTAGTAGGAGATTTGAACAGGCCACTCTCACCAAAAGACTAGTCAACTGCAAAGAAACAAAATAAAAATGCAGAAGAACTAAGTGATAAAATTAGCCAACTCTACCTCATAGACATATTCAGTGTACTTCATCCAACTAAAACTCAATTTACTTTCTTCTCAAGAACATACAGTGTATTCTCGAGAACTGATCATGTATGAGGACACAAGCAAGACTCCAGAAATTAAGAAAACCCCACATTGAAATAATACAAAGTATCTTCTTAGACTACAATAGCATTGTTGCTGTGTCCCATAGAATTGGAACTAATCCATAGATGACCCGCCAATGGATCTTCAAAGGCAGTTAATTGCATGGGAGGAGACTGTCCATCCTTCTCCCAAAGAGCAGCTGGTGGATTTGAACCTGTACCTTTACGATTGCAGTGAAGCTTCTTGCCACTAGGCCACCAGAGCTCCCTGCAATGCAATAAAACTAGAAATTAACAAGAGGATAAAGGACAAAAACCACTCACGTGGAAGCTAAAGAAAATCCTTCTTGAACACTATTGGGTTGTAGTAGAAATAAAAAAGTGAAGTAAAAAAGTTCCTCAAAATAAATGAAAATGAAATTATAACACATAAAAACTTCTGGAATATAGCTAAGAAATTCTTCAGCAAGAAGGTTATAGCTATAGATAAACTGATTAAAAAAAGAAGAAAGTAAAATTAACAAGTTAACTAGGAAAAAACCTAACCATCTAATCCATAGCCTCTAGAATAAAGGAAATTATAATGACAAAGGCTGAAATCAATGGGATAGAAACCAGAAAAACAATTGAAACCACCAAGAACAGGAGCTGGTTCTTTGAAAGGGTCAATAAAATTGACAAATCATTGGCAAACTTAACAAAAGAAAAGAAAGAGAAGACACAAATAGCTTACATAAGAAATGAAAGAGAGGACTTCACAACAGAAGCAGCTGAAATGAAAAATAATAATGGAATGTTATGAAAGCTATACTCCAATAAATTTTAAAACCTAGAGGAAATGTACAAATTCCTAAAAACTCATATCCTACCCAGATTGACACAAACAGATGCAGAACACTTAAAAAGACTCATCATACAAGAAGAAATTCATTCTAGAAAGCATTTTGCTGAGTGAACTCAGTTTTATAGCGACAAATAGAACATAAAACTGTTATTGTAAAAATGAAAGGAACACAAGTTAGATGTGTGTGAATGTCCAAAACGGAAAGGGGATAAGGGAGCAGGAAAAAGCGAAGAGTGGGATCACTGGAGTCGCAGAGTTTAGTGGAGGATGGGAGTGGTGGTGAAGAACTGGTGAGATTTAAGAGTTAGGGTGATAAGAGGCCTAGATAAACAGTGATTGGTTGACACAGGGTTGTGCAATTCGATGGCGTGTGTGTGTGTGTGTGTGTGTGTGTGTGTGTGTGTGAAGGAAATGGGAAGGATCTTTTGTGAAAAAAAGTATTCAAAATTTGTAAATAAATCAGCTTAAAATTTTAAAAAATAGTGTTTGGTTTTATGAAATAGTGTATATGAATGACTGCATGAAACAATGTAAATGAAGGATTGTATAAAACACAGTGTTACAGGAATGAAACACAATGTAAATGAACTATTATATGCAAACCAATAGAAAAAGAAAAAGACAAGTTGAATTGGTTGGGAAAAAAGAGAAAATTTAAAAAAAACTCTTTAAAAACAAAAAGATATTAAAAGGTAAATTTTAAACTCTAAACCTTAACTGAATTATTGCTAACTTTTTCCTGAATCACAGACTTTTTTAGTTTTCCATCTTCTTTCACCCTTTATGTGCTGAATAATTTTGCAGAGACAGTCAGATTTGGAAAGTCATTATACACCTAATAAAAGTATTTTAAGATGCAAAACGCAACCCAATTGGGTAATCTAGACGCCTCCCACCATTTCCTCTTAACAATCTTTAACTGTTGTTGTTATGTGCCGAGTGTCTTTAACTCGGCTAAGAGGTTTCAGATGCCATGAAAGTGACTCCTGTATTACCTTCTTCCAGAAAGCAGACCTCTTGAAAGGTCGTATTCTGAGATGATCTCATGGCTCACCTGATGATGGCCATCTTTAAAGCCACAAGCACATGTTGTTGGATCACGAAGATCTTGATCATCTGCTGGTGCTCTCCACAAGACCCTGGTGGCAACAACCTTGAGAGAACAACTGAGCATGTGCACGATTCTCCCCACCCCTCTCACATGAGCCAATCCCTGAGGACCTCTCCTCCTCCCAGTAACAAATTTGGCAATCTTGTCTTTTTGATAGGTAAGTTTAAATCCTATCCTCTCCATGAATAAACTCGATATTCTTTCTTAGCTTCTAGAAATACATTCACGAAGGTGATTAGAAACGTTCGCTGAGCTACAGAAGAGATGTTAAGAACTCTAAGTCACCTATTAGTCCTTCCTAATGCCCTGTTGCTGATTTTTTTTCTCTGCATTCATTATCTATGCCTTCTTTTTTTCTTACTCCTTATACCACTTTTCTAGATCTATTTTCTGATGTTAGCATCTACTGTTCTTCTATATTTTGTAATTGGATGTTACTCTTGGCTGGGAGAAATTATTAGAATTATTAGAAAGTATTAAAGCTTTAGCTTTACACTACCCAGGTACCAAAACCTCAACTCATTTCCAGGGCGTCCCCTAGTGTTATAGAATAGGATTGCTTGGATGCTGGGAAAATCATAAAATGTTGAGCAGGAAATGTGGTTTTCTTTAATGTCCAGGAAAAAAAAAATCGTTTTTCTCCTGGAATATACTTAATTTAGTCAGTATATATGCTTATAATTGGAAGCAAGAGTGTCATCCACTTCCTAAACAACATGCCTCTGGAAACTCTGAGAAATGATGATAGTTAAGAGAAAGGCTTCTTTTGTTCATAGAGTCGCCATGAGTCACACTCGACTCCACGGCAATCAACAACAACAATAATAACAACAACTACAACCACCACCACCATTGTTAAATAATACATGGGCTAGTGTTGCCTTATCTTTCTTTGCAAAGTATTTCCTCTAATATAACTCTTTCTAGTTTGCATAGAAAAACATGAATCCTATTTTTCTATTCTTAATTAACAGGAGGAAGAACCTAAATTTAAGGAGGAAACTGAAGATGTTTTATTTGGCAAGTACGTTTAGGAAATAGTCCAGCCATGGTAAGAGAATTGCCAAATACAATATTTTGTTTGATTTTACAACAGCTTCTTCCAAAGTCATTGATTGTAGATTTAAGCAAAATTAATTTTTCGCTAATGTCAGTGTTTTCTTTGTTAGCTTTAGGCTACTCATTGCTCCAGGTATAAGTATTTTTATCCTGCCGTGTAAGCTATAGAGAAGACTTTAATCTTTGACCTTCATCATTAAGTGCTGATATCTTTTTATATTTCAGTAAGCAAGGCAGTCTTAGCTGCATATCACAGATTGTTAATGAGCCTTCTTCCAATCTTAATGTCACATTTCCACCCCCTTCCCACAAGTAGGGTAGCCCACAGTGTGAATACATAAGGTAAAAGGTCATAATTCTGATGCACATGTATTCAAGTGATAAACTACACAATGCCCTATGTTCTGCTCCCATGTTGAAAGAATTGAAGAAAACAAATGCAAGTGTCAAGTTGCAATACTAAAGGACTCTGGGCAAAATATGGATTGAAGCCAGACCATCAAGAGTATATGGAGGGCCAGTTATGAGTAGGCTCTGATTGGATGGCACATAAGAACAACAATCTAATATTTTGAATTTGGCCTCTGAGTTGTCTTCTGTTGATTTCTTGACCTCCATCTTGATCATTGTGACATGTTAGGTACTGTTTTCATTCCTTCCATGAGTGGAGGTATTGTACCTCAATTCCTAAAACATGTATCCTTCTGCCTAGAAAGCAAGCCCTTTCCCCACCAGTTCCTCAGTTTATTCCTGCCACCTTTCAGACATCAGCCTATGTGTCCTCTTAGAGAGGACTGCCCTCACCACGTAACCTATCAGTCTTCTCTCAGAGCACCAGGTTCTTTCCTTTTGTAGCATGACACATTTGTTACTTGTCCCTTTCTTCATGTACGTTGGTGATGAGGTATGTCTTTTCAAAAGCCATAAACTGTCCACAAGGTATTATATTTATTCTATTCATGAATACATTTCAGTCAAATGCTAGCAAATAGTAGATGCTCCATGAATTCATATCTGTGGAATATTAATTGATAATTTTTTTTCTTTTCTATCACCCATTTGTTGTAACTTCCATAGGTTTTCTTCATGCAACACATATACATATATCTTACTTTAATACTTCCATTATACCTTCCTTTTCTTTATAATACTGTTCTACCTTCTTACGTCCCTTTGCTGCCACATTTCTTGAAAAGCCCCCCCCACACACACACTTGTCTTCTTCACTAACTCACATGTCAGTGCATTCTATTGTTCTTGCTGAAGTCTCTAAGAACTTCCTAACAACCAGCTGTTAGTTTGTTTCTATTCCCCGTCTGGCTCATTTTGCACAAAATTCCCCCCTTCACATAGGTACTGATGACTGGGACATCAATCAAGATGCAGAAGTTTCAGTATGACTAAGTGCAATTTGTGTAAAACCTGCCCTGCGGGAGAAATGAAGAATGACTGGACAAGTAATAACACAATTTTGATTCTTTTATAAACTCTTCTCCCATTTTCAAGGCATTGTCAAAATTGACCAGATTATTCTTCAGAAATGGATGTCAAACCCGGTGCCACCTCCTCCATTTCCACTGATAACCCAAGACTTGATCACCTCCTTTGACTATTTAATTTCCCTAATGCTGTTTTCTCTCTACTCCATTTCCTCCTCCAACCTACCTATAAACCCCATGCCCCCTGAGTTTTTATCTGAAAACAAATCTGTGAAAATTATTGTTCTCTTGAAAGGCTCTTATTGGTTCCTCTTGGCCAATGGGACACTTATCTGATATTCTTGTATGAGTGTTAACTTAAAAGTTGGCTTTTTTAGCCATTATGTTGTTGTTGTTGTTGTTTGGTGCCGTCGAGTCTTAGACGACTCATAGCGACCCTATGAACGAACAGCCTGAGCACTGTTTGTACATAGAGTTTCCGGAGACAAGCCATTTCAGAAGTGGATGCCGCTCCTGCTTCCAGGCTTGATTTAGTCGGGAAGCTCCAGCCAACAAGGTCCACCATGGGTACCCATTACCACGATTGGCACATCACTGTCACAGTCTTCAGCATCACAGCAACCACGAGTTACCTCTGTACAACAAAGCACAGACCAGTGCTATACCACCTAGAAGAATGTTTCTAGCTACCTTAACTGCAGACACGTGGTCTTGTAAATAATCAACAGCTGTGGGACTGTGTAGGCTAAGAGCTGTAGGATAAGAGAGAAAGAATGCTTCTCATGCTGTGCAGCAAGACTTGAGGGAGACTGGAGCAAGATCCTGGTGAGTGCAAGTTTGTGGTAATGTTGATGGAGAGACTGTGGAAAGGTGTAAGCAGGGGACCCCTGAGATAAAGGTCACAGATGAAGATTTTTTTACTGTTCTTGTCGGAAGAAGAAAGGAAAAGCTGACTCCTAAATGGAAACTAGAGCCTGGACTAATTGAAGAATTGTCCCTTGGGACTGCTGGGCTAAAACCTGAATTTCCATTGGGTAGTATTCTTTTCCTTCCCCTCTCTAATGTATTTCCCTAATACACCCCATTCTTGGCACCTCTACTGTGAGTAAACTCTGCATGTCCACAGTGAATATCGAACTTCTTTTTTTTTTCTATAATTATATTTTATTAATTTTCATAAACATTTACAGAGATTTTGGGCTTCCACTCATTCATTGTTGCACTATTCTCTCTACCCTCCTCCCAGTTTGTTCTTGTCCAAATGCCACAGTGCTTGTCAAAGTCAGTTCTGATTAATCTTCTTTGTCAGTGTGTCCTTTGCCATTCCCTATCACTCCTCCCTGAGAGAGACTTCACTCTGAGTCATAAGGAAAAGGGGATGGCATATTCTCTTAGCTACTTCCTGCTGAAAAGGGACGCTGTGGGTTTCAGGGTGAAGATCTTCTCTCACTACTCTAAAGGGCCCCTTTGGCAGTAGGAAACACATAGACTATTATGGAGATTGATTTTGGAATTTAGATGCACTCTTATTGATTGTGCTTGGCCGTACATGTTCATATCCTTGAAGATGTATCATGGGGGTGTTGCAACCTAGAAGACACAAATTTGACTAACAAATTATAAGTACATGAGTCCAAAATTATGGAAAAGTAAAAGAAAAGATTCTTTCATTGTTTTACAAACCCTCCCCCAGGTCCCCTCCACCATGTAGCCCTCGCTCTAGTCTCCTGTGATGACAGAAATACCCAGTTATATCTCTCTTTTAAACGGTTCTCTCCCTCCTCTGTTTCAGTGCAGTATACATTATTGAACCCATCTTACTCAGTCTCTCCCCAACCCCAAGGACAGTCCCATTCTACAACAGTGGCATCATGTAATATTTGTCCTTTTGTGACTGGGATATTTCACTCAGCATAATGTTCTCCAGAGTCAACCATTTTGAATAATATTGCATGAGTTCCTTGTTTTTTACTTCTTACTACTGATGTGGCTCTAGAGGTACCATTGGGCTGGACTACAAGCTCTTTATCTGCTTTCTGCTCCGGGATGGTAGAGGACACTATTTTCACTCCCTCTGGCCCTCTCCGAGAGATGGTCATGGCCCTGTGCTCTCAGGCCCCATTTTCTGCTCTCCAGACACCTTGTATGGTGTTTCTTCATATTTGATACCATTCCCTACCTATATCTCACCCATGGATTGTAGTCTAGCACTTTTTCAATGTTCTGAAACAAGCTGTTCTTTGGCAGTATTATTTTCTATATCTGGATACTTTTCCCCCAGTTGACACCTTGCTAATGCTCCTTTTATGCTGTTTCTATTCAGATGTTCCTTTTTTATTATTATTTTCTATAGGTTTTGATATGAATTTACTCATTGTTTTTTAAAATAGTCACTGTTAAATGTCTAATCAGAGAAAAGATAATGATAGTGGCTTTATGATGATAATGGATTACCACCTATATGTAATTCAGGGTTAAAATCATGCAGACTGGTATGTGATGTTTCATAGTAGCACTTCAGAGATATTTTTTCTTTGGAAGTACCAAATGAAGATGAATTGAATTGTAGCGTCCTTCTAAAAAGACATATTGAAGTTTTAAAGCCAGGTGTTTACCAATCCATTGTTCACTGGCTTTGTTGTTGTTGTATCAGTCCATTTATTTGTTGATGGGCATTTGCGCTGCTTCCATTTTCTTGCTATTGTGAATAAACGGCTATGAACATAGGTGTACAAATGTCCATTCATGTCTCTGGTATGATTTCTCTGGGATACGATAATAGGCATAGTTGTTGTTGTTGTTGTTGTTGTTGTTAAGTGCCGTCGCGTCACAGCGACTCATAGCGACCCTATGAAGGAGAATCCTCAATGCTTGGGTGCCTTTCATCCTCTCTCCAGGTTCATAGGGTTTCC